GTTGAGAAGGGACTGTAAACAAGAAAACTATGGCCAGAGGCATCTGGTGGGACCATAGCACGGAGGGGAAGGACAGCAGGGGTCATCTCAGGCCTATAGAGCTGTCTTGAATGTGTGTGTGGAGGGGTGAGGAGTGGAGGGATGGTTGGAGCGGGAAGAGAGGCTGGGGAAAGAGGTGAAATAGGGTCTCAACCATTTTGGGGCTTTATCCAAAAGGTAAAAGTAAGCCATAACATAGGGAACCTGATCAGCATGTCCTGGGCTTCCAAAAATCACAGTCTGAAGAGAAGAAAGCTTGTTAATCTCAAAAGAACCAGTAGAGGGCCATCCTACATTAAAAGATGGCCATTCAAGAGAACAGAGGGTCCAGAATTTTCCTGAATAAACAGTATCTCCAGAGAAACAAAGGCCAATAAGAACTAAACAAACAGGACCAGGACGACACAGAACAAAAACGCGGTGTGTTGGAAAAATTGCTATGCGCTGGGGAATCGCTGTGTGTTCTAAGGTCGCTGCGAGAGCAACTAGAGTCAATGCAAAATGCCCAGAGGGCACAGACAGTCAACCTACCAGATGGAGGGTTGGGGCGTCCCCCATCCTCCAGCTCAGAGAGCAATACTGCTTCCAGTTTCTCTCCTTTGAACCCCCAGAAGTCTGGACACTCGGAACAGAAACCAAAACAGACTCACCGCGAGAGGAACCAGAACTGAAGTCTCCAGGCGCCAGACGGAGATCCGAGAAAGACAGGAAAACGAACCGAGGGTTTTCAGGGAATCCCGGACAAGCCCCTCAAAATGTTATGGGTCTGTAAAATTCCCTACATTGACCACTCAGACACTGAGTCTCAGTAAAAAGGAGCACTTTACTGAGGCCAAATGGTTGGGGATGCAGACAGTCTCAGGAGTTGCCCTGCGACCCTGAGCAGTGAAATCACAGAGCTTTTAAGCAGAAAAACCACAAAGACCACAAAGCCAGGGGTTTCCATAGAAACTATACACAGAATAATTAAGAAAGGAACAATCTAGGGCTGATTTTCAGAGACTTTACTTATACAGTTATTGGCTGTCTCACCCAGGGCAGAACGTCCTCTCTCTTCTGTCCCAGATCATTCCCATAGAGACCATACACAGATGTACCAAGTATACTGTCATTGGCTAGCTCAGGATGTTTTTTTCTTTTCTGCCCCAGACCATTCCCATTGAAAGTGTAAACAGAAACCAGGAAAGGGTTTGAACAATGAGGGGGATTTTCAGAGTCAGGTGGAAGGCAGCTTTTTTTTTTAAGAGGATAGGGAGGGGGTCTAAGAGGGTTCTCCTTCACTGGCAATTAATGTAATTGGGGAGGGTTGTTTTGTTTTCGGGGGCTTGTGTTTGTTTGTTTGTTTTGTTTTGTTTTTTGCCCTTCAAATAGGTGTTGAATAAACTTTTTATAATATATTCAAATTTGCATCTTTCATTGGTTTATCTGCTATTTACATCTCTTTTGGGCTATTTGTTTACTTATCATTAAATTTGGGGTTATTTAAACGTACTATTTACTAGTTTGGGTTTGTTTTGTTTTTTGTTGTTGTTGCTGTTGTTATTGTGGTTGTTGCTTTGTCCTTTTTTAAAACAGGGTTTCCCTGTAGCTCCAGCTGATCTGGAACTTGTAGGCCTCTATCTCACAGAGATTCATCTGCCTCTGCCTCCCAAGTGCTGGGATTAAAGGTATGTGCTGCCACACCCGGCAAGTTTTTTATTGGATATGTGGTTTACAAATATTTCCTCAGCCTGTGTCTCGCTTTTCACTCTCTTAACAGCAACTTTCAAAAATAAAATTTGCTCCATCATAGTGAGACCAGTTGTTTGGGGCAGGGGGAGTTCTTTTGCAGATAGGGTTTCTTGCATCATGTCTAGAACTCTTTGACTCACCTAACAGCTCATGTTTCCTTCTAGAAGCTTTACAGTTTTAGACTTTATATTTTGGTCTAGTATCCATTTCAAGTTAAATCTCTTTCTGGACTCTGCTCTGGTCCAATGGCCTTTCTGTCCCTTCACTGGTACATGCTGTCTTGATTGCACTCACTTTTCAGTGAGATTGTTCTTACTTTGTACTCCCGGCTTACAGGAATCATGTCTTAGACTTTTCTCAAACTCATTTCGGTTATTCTAGTTCCTTTGATTTTCCATATAGTATAGAATTTATTTGCCAATTTCTACCCATAACATTCTGCTAGGACTTAAGTGGAGTTATCATGCATCTATACATCAACTTAGAAAGAGCTAACATCTAAAACATCTTCACGTGCTCATCTAAAAGCATAGTATAGCTTTCTACTTATTTTGTTCTTCGGTGTTTTATAGATATCAATTTGCAGATTTTCCACAACTTCTGTTAGATTAATATCTAAGTTCTTCATGGCTTTTGGTACTATTTTTAATGAATTTTAAATTTTTAGTTACTAAGCACACTTGTTTGCAACCAGCTTTGGATGAAATCTGAGTTTCTTTGCTCACCTTATTAAGAAGATCATGAATTGACTAGAAGGTGCTGCCTGCATCATGTAGCATGCTTGTGGTCAGTCTGGAATAAATATGTGAATCTAGGCTGTTTGATTCCCCCAGAGTGCCCAGGAGGCGCGAGGTCGCCCTGCAGCAACAGAGGCATTTGTGATGAAGGCATGGAAGGAAACGGAAGCTGTTCCTGCCAAGTAAGTTCTTCAGAGGAGAACTTCCCCACCCCCACTGTGGTCTACCCCCATTCCTACACGTTGATCTGCGTCTAACACACCCCACATTAGAAGGCTCTAAGAGTAGTGGTATTATTACTAAAGAGAATTTGCACTGTGCCGCAAAATGACCTCTTAGAGGCTGGGGGCCTTTTGGTTTAATTACCTGATCCATCTATAAAACCAGTCTGATAAAAGATCTATACAATACCCTCATTGAGGCATAAAATGAACTCATATATGTAAATTACATGATCCATACAGGCTATAAAAATTGTCATTAGCTGTTACTTGGTGCTTTTAGTAATCCCCCCACTAGTAGACTACTCTTAACCAACCACTGGCAAGGTGGCAGTTGAAGAATTTATTTCACAAAATAGCTTTTGATACATTTCAAGCTGTAGATGATTTAACTATAAATCCTTCTGAAAGGAATTGAACTCAGCTGCTTTCAGAAATACAAAACTGAAAAGGTGCTTTTTGCCCTTGGGTGAACCTGTGATGGGGCTGTTAGCATTTGTTGTCTATTTTTATCTTTGGGCTCACAGCCACAGCTTTCTTCTATAGAGCTCCAGGCATTTAGAAGAGGAAGAAAAGACACGGGGATTCATGTATGCCTTAAGACACAGCAAAAATCCTGCAAGAGTAAAGGGAGAAACAGAAAGTGGCCTGTAAAAGAAGGGCACAGAGGAAAGATGTATTTAAGAGTCAAACACTGACCAGATCATCAGTGGGATGTCCAGGGGTTTCCTGGATAACATAGGAGTTACTCAAGGTGATCTTGGGTCTCACATCATCCACCTGGCATGTTTTGCAGAGGGGATTTGGTGGAACAGCCTGTGAAACCTGTGCTGATGACAACGTTTTTGGGCCCAGCTGTTCAGCAGGTAGGTCTGATTGCTGTTCATTCAATGCATTTGTGAGAGTTGAAAAAGTTCCCAGAAATGGTTCCTCCTGGGAGACATGGTGTGGGACATAGAACAGTTGCATGTGACCAACTCTATCCAGGGAATTCACGTTGACCATAAACCTGATGATGTGCACTCACTAAAGGGAAACATGGCGTCTTCTGTCTTTCCCAGCCCTTGCAGTCAACTGAGAGTCAGAAACGCTTTCTGACGTGTTTGGGAGTGTCCTCCCCCCACCCCCCCAGGCTCCAGGATCCGATAATGGCCTGTTCCTTCTCTGCCCAGCTTGGTTCTGAGGTCTTTCTGGATCACAATCCTAGTATAGACCTGGGGACTTCAAAGGCTTGCCAGGTCCCACCACATTCCAACATTCCCCTGACTTTTAAGACTTCACAAGTAAATGGTCACAGTGCTCACAGATCATTAGCTCCAAATCCAACAAGCAAGCCTTAGACTGACATGGCCGTGACCTGATGTTTTGGCCACCCTCAGAAGAAGGCCTTGAGTCCAAGTTTCAAGTAAAGTCATTGATTTGGAAGGTGATCTTAGAGTATGAAGAAGTAAAATGAAGAAATAAAAGGTGTACCATCCTGGAGTTTTATCTGAACCAAGAGGAGAGAGAGCCACATGGGGCAGGAGAGCAATGCCTATCCACAGATGCCCACAGCCTAATCTCTGAGCCCAGGAAATATGTCACCTTATTATATGACAAAAGGTGGCATTAAGGCGGCAGATAGAATTAATGTTGCTGATCAACTAACCTTAAAATAAGAGACTGGCCTAGATCATATGGCTGGGCTCAACATAATCACAAGTATGTTTAAGTGTGGAAGGAAGACAGAGGACTCAGTATCAGATGCTAGGTGCAAAAGTTTCAGTCAGCCATTGCTAGCGTTGGAGACAAAATGGGTAGTGAACCAAGGAATGGGAGTGGCCTTAAGAAGCTGACAAAGACAAGAAAAAAAAATCCTTCCCCAGTGCCTTTCCAAAGGAACGCAACCTTGTCAACACCTTGATTTCAACATGATGCTTTTATATTTCTGTGTCCATAAATGTATGAGTTTTTATTACTTTAAGATACTAAATGTTTTAGTCCATTTTCCATTGCTATAATAAAATAGATGAAACTGGAGCGTTGGTAAAGAAAAGAAGTTGACATAGCTGACAGTTTGGTCAGTGAAGAGTGTATATGCACCACGTTTTCATTATTCATTCATCTGTTGATGGACATCTAGGTTGGTTCCATTTCCTGGCTATTGTGAATAGAACAGCAGTGAACATGGGTGTGTAAGTGTCTCTGTAGTAGGAGATGGAGTCCTTTGGGTGGGTAGCTCAAGAGTGTCATAGCTGGATCATATGATAGTTCAGCAAATAGGAGCAGGGATTACAAGAAAACCTATAAACACACATATACATCCCAGCCCCATAAGTTTGTTGGTGTGCTCCACAGTACATTTTACCTGCAGCAATGAGAGCATCTCCTCATTCTGATCCATGGGGTCATGAAGGTAAGACTCCATTGAATTTTTCCCTTCAGCAGCTTCTGTACTGCTGCCTGCATGGTAGACACCACTTTTGTTAGCTAAATGAGTAAACACATATATGAAAGAATGGATGGCCTCATTCACCGTAGTAATGCTGCCCTGACTCAGAAGCACAATTTCACGAGGTAACAGATAGATCTGTTAGATCTTTAGATCCAGGGTGAGTTTCAGCTCAGGGCTGCTAACTGTGGGAGCCTGGATAGGTGTATAAAGTAAAAGTATGTTCTCTGTGTGCTTCTGTCTATAAAAATAGAAATACTGTTGTGGCTTCTGGGGAACATTTAGTGGCATAGTCAGTTCACAATAACTGTTAGCTGTCCTTGTTACTATTATTGCTGTTGTTGATGGCGATGTTTCTTCTCTATCGTAAGATATGGTAGGATACCCTAATCTTAAGTGTTCCTTCACACTAGCCTCATAAAAGATTATTTATAAGGCTATTAGCAAAAGTAAATTGAAAACACTTATTGATTGGCATTCCTTGTTTTTAAGATTAACATTGCTTTAAAGGACAGTAATCAAACTATAACCAATCCACTACTTAGAAATGACATAACTCCTTATACATTGCCCTTTCCTACCATGATCAACTGGAATTGAAATTATGTGTGCTAAATAATACTGAAATAGGAAAGTTGAAAGCAGTCGTCCAGAATCCCTTGTATCCCAGAAAAGCTGAATAATTGTTTGGGGATGAAAGTTAAGATGAAGCTGATCCATGTAACCTCCTAGAAATGGTGTTGATTGCAGGAAAACACAAACATACATGGAAATCCCAAATGTTTCCTAATAAGATAAACATATTTTCTTCATGTTTCTGCCACAGAGGAAGAAAAAAATGAAAAGATAAGAAGAGTTTGGAACCCAAATTTTTTTAATAAACGAAATTTTCTTTATTTTTTAACATTTTTTATTTGATGTGCATGAGTGTATTGCCTGTATGTATGTAAGTATACCCATGTCATGCAATGCCTGCAGAGGTCAGAAGAGGCAGTCAGATTTCCTTGAAACTGGAGTTACAGACACTTATTAGTGCCTTGTGGGTTCTGGGGATTGAACCCAGGTCCTCTGCAAGAGCAGCCAGTGCTCTTAACCGCTGAGCCAACTCTCCAGCCCCTATTTTCATTTTTTTGGTTTACTTATTTTTATTTTGTGCATGTGTGTTTTGCCTGCATATATGCTCAGTTCACCTGTGCATGCGATACCCTTGGAGGTCAGAAGATGACATCAGAATCTCTGGAACTGGAGTTACAGACAGGTGTCAGCTACCATGTGGGTGCTGGGAACCAAACCCAGATCCTCTGCAAGAGCAGTCAGTGCTCTCAACTGCTGAGTCATCTCTCCAGACCTTCTAATTACATGTGTAAGTTTTATTTTGTGTGCACATGGTGACACATTCCCTCCCTCCTGGTGACTGCCCAATGCTTGTGGAGGGAGGTCAGAGGACAACTTGCAATAGTCCTTTCCCTCCTTCTCCAAGTGGGCTCGGGGACTGAACTCAGGTCATTGGGGGGCTTGGTGGTAGGCAACTTTACTAGTTAAGCCATCTTGCAAGCCAAGAACCCTAAATTATTGAGTATGAAAATTAGAAGCCTCAACAGAGATCTAGAGAAAAATCTCTCCAAATTCTAGATTCCAATAATACTTTCTGTGAACACAGAAATGTTTCACATGTACAGTGTCCAACCAACCCAGTAGCCTCCAGTCACATGTGGCCACTGAACTTCTTAAATGGTGCTAATACAGCTGAGGGACTAAATTTCAAATTTGGACACACAGCCATATTGGATAATACAGCTTCAAACCCCATGGAGGATAGAACAGTCTTTGAAGTCAGATTGGCCTGAATCTGAAGCCAACCACAGCTTCTCTGTGACCTTGGACAGAATACTTAACTCCGCTCGGCCCTCCTTATGGAACAAGAGTGCTATCTGCCTCCTGGGGATGACAACAGGGTCAAGCTCTTAGCAGCATGTCACAGAACTCCATGAACACCTGTATTAAGAGATGGTAGCAATCAAGTCCCCATTGAGCGGTCATTTCCCATTGAGCGATCATTTCCCATTGAGTGGTCATTTCCCATTGGTAACCCAAACACTTTCAGCTAGACAGCCACTGGGTGCCAGTATTGTCTCATCCACCAACGTGTCAGTCCAAGGAGGCGGCATTCCCGCCTGAAAGTAGGACAGCTCTATTAGGTGCCATCTATTTTTAATGCTGACTTGTCCCTGCTGCCAGAACACTCTCTTACCAGGCTGTTCATTGGTTGGAGACGATTCTGAGCTGCACCAGCCAGGATTTTCATCTCTGCTGCCAAAGCTGGAGTGACACATTCCCTTCCTCCTGGTGACTGCCCAATGCAAAGCCCACTTTTTCTGTAGCCCCCAAATCGACCCCACAGCCACATATTGTTAGTGAGGCCCTACTGTGTGCCTGGCAGATGCGAAGATGTTTCTTACCCCTAATGTCTTTGGGTTCTAGGCACACCGTTAAGCTAATATTCTCATTTGTGGGGTGAAGGAGCAGAGTGGTGACAGAGGGCCATGTGACTATGATGGGGGCAGACCCTGACCCCAGCACAGCACTGTTCTGTCCCTGGTGAGCATGCACCATGCATTTTAGACCGCAGACAGGCAATGGACTCCTCTGAGCAGTGAAATGAGGTAGAGATATGAAATATGCGTAGCAATTGTAATGCCATATGCATGGCACACAAGGATGCTAAGGGGACACAGGAGAGACAACAGCGCACTCTGTCTTGGGGATGTCATAGGGGACCACATGCCATCCCTCTGACTATAATGTCTAGGGCTTTGGCTACTTCAAAAGTCACACCACCCAAGTTTCACATGTCCCTAGAGATGTGCTGAGACCAGTTCACAAGGACTTTTGGTGATCAGCTGGGAGTTCCTCTGCCCCTCATTTCTCAATTTCCCAAGGACACTTGCTTGGTGGTGGCTAGTGGCCCTGCAATGTACTGTCACAGACTTCAGAGGATGCCTGTATCAGACTAGTTAATCAGGCTGTGCTGGTAGGTGGGACATAGGGAGAGACTTATGCTAACACTGAGTTGGCTCACAACATGCAGCTAGGAGGACAGTCTTATCAAACAAGGACAGTGCTTACAGTTAGCATCTGAGACCTCATCCTGTCTGCATTCCACCCCACCCACCCCCAAGTCACTATTCTCTTCCACTAGCCATGAGGAATGATTTGATTTCTCCAATATTCCACAAGCTCCTTGTAGTGAGGTACTATTAATCACCTGTGATTTCATTTCTCATGCCTAATGCCATGTCTAGTGCTAGGTGGGAGCCAGGTGAATATTTTTTTAATTGAATTGACTGGAATCTTTTCTGTTAATTCCCACATAAAGATCCTTTCTATTGAGACCCTCTCCTCAATCCAGTCATCTCCGTGAATATTTTTTTTAACTGACTGGAATCTTTTCTGTTAATTCCCACATAAGGATCCTTTCTATTGAGACCCTCTCCTCAATCCAGTCATCTCCATAACTAGCTTGGTTTCTCTCTAGAACTTGCCTGTTCCAAAAGCTGTAGCTATTGGCAGGCACTGAGGCACCTTGCTCAAACAGAAACAGACAACAGTGCTTTAAAGGGAAGATGACAAAGAGAAATACAACTGAATGAGTCACTCTTTAAGTGAGTACTTAGCTAGTTAGCACCCATTTTTCATGTGTGATTTGAAGTTAATCATGTCACCTAGCTCATGTTACACTGAGCCTGAGACTGCGTGGCACATGCCTGATGGAATGCACGTGGATGATAAAGGCAAGCGTGGGACGCAGCCTAGAGTGAGGAGAAGCAAATTTAAGAAGGAACCTCCCCCAAAATATCTCTCATCAAGATGAAGCATCGTGTTTGTTTCCCGAGGCTGATGCAACAAAGCAGCTCAAAATGAGTAGCACTGTTCTGAAAGCTAAACGTTCAAAGCCAAGGTGTTGGCAAGCCTTTTGCAGCTTTCATAAGAGGCTCTTCTCAGAGCCCAAAGGAGCAAAGATTCTACTTGGAGACCCCTGAAATGGCACCACAAAGGTGGGGGCTCTGGCTGTCCTTGAAACCTGAGGAAAACATCACCTTCCATGGTGCGGGGGGGGGCACAACAGAAGTCAAAGCGTGTGGCTGTGCAGGTGTGCGTATGTGCCGGTGTGCGGAAGTGCTGGTGTGCGGGAGTGCTGGTGTGCATGTGTGCCGGTGTGCGGGAGTGCTGGTGTGCGTGTGTGCCGGTGTGTGGGTGTGCAGGTGTACGGGTGCGCAGATGTAGGGGTGTGTGGTGCATCTGCTGCCTCCCTACTCCATCCCACCTCTTCTTAGCCAACTCCTATTGGCCTATATGTGGTAGTGTTTATCACGGTAGGTTGTGATTGACTGTTTTCCTTTGCCGTTGTACTGTGAGTTCTTTGAGGTTGGAGATTTGTCCAGTTTATCTTAAGCTCTTCTAGCATAGTACTCTGAACATGACAGGTGTTGGACGAACAGGAAAAAGGAAGTAGAGAGTGAGCCAGGGCTATCCTGCACACTTAGAAGTCAAAATGTATAAAACAGAATGATGAATGGGCTGGTGAGATGGCTCAGTGGGTTAAGTGCTTGCCACACGAGTGTGAGGACCAGAACCCAGGTAAAAGACGGGAAGGCATGGCAGCCAACCCCAGCGCTTGAGGGACAGAAACAAGAGATGCCTAGAGCAAGCTAGCTAGCTACACTAGCCAGAGTTGGCGAACTCTGGGTTAAGCAAGAAGCCCTCAATAAAGTGGAAATGGACTAAAGAAGACACCTGACAGTGACTGCATGCCCATGCACCCCCACACACAAACACCTATACACACAGGTATGTGTACCACATGCACATATGCATGGAAAAGTAAGAACCTTGAAAGATGAAGTGTGGAGTCAGACTGGGAAGGTCGTTCCTTGCTGAACTGAGGGATTCTGATTTCATCTGATTGGCAAACGGTGCTCACTGAGATCCTTATGATGAGCTCACCCTGACACCATTGCTAGTCAAATGAAATGAATGGAATGGAGACAGTGAAGCCAGGGCGAGTACTGCCGCAAGAGTCGGGGTAAAGCCTGGGAAGGACCTGAACAAGGACAGAACCAGGAGACAAAGAACAAGACGCCAAGGTAGGAAACCTAGACAGAGTTTGGTGTGTTTTTAGATGTTTGAAAAACTTTACACTTTAGCAATCCATGATTTCCTAGTATCCTTTTGTTAAGTTAAACAATATGCCTTTGTGATTGTGATTCCTTTGAGCTTATATGAAATTTACTCATACACACCAAATACATTTGTGGTAGGCAGAGAGCACTGACCCCCAAAGAGCCAAGTCTTAATCTTGGAATCTGTGAGAATATTGTTACATGACAAAGGGCAATCAAGGCTGTGGGTGGGATTAGGGCTGCTAATCAGTCTGTTTACTATATAGATAAGGTGATTTCCCTGATTACCCAGGTGCGTCCAGCATGGTCATAAGCTTCTTATAAGCGGAAGAGGGAGGCGGAGGAGAGAACCCAAAGAATGTAGCAGCAGGTGAAGGACGTGGCACTCGGCCGAACCTCACTAGCTCTGGAAAGGGAACCTGAAAACACAGGGTCTTTCTAGAACCTGGAAAAGGTATTGGAAGAGGTTCTGAAAGAAAGGCAGTCCTGTTGCAACCTTGGTTTAACCCAATAAGACATTTTGTATTTATGACCTCCAGAACTCTGAAACAAAATGAACTTGTACTGTTTCAAGTTCCTCTTTGGGGTAGTTTGTTATAGTGACAAAAGAAAACTCCTACAACATGCTTCCCAGAAAGTTTGGTTCTCACTTAACTCTCTAGGAATCTCAAACACCATTGTCCATGTTATGCTTTGGAAAACTCAACATGAATAAAAGAAAGGTAAAGCCAAGATTCAAACTGGTTTCTCTGGGAGTTCAGACCCAGTTTCCTCCATTGCATCCTCCAAAGTCACACTAAGGGCTGTTTGAAAAATCTTACCCTTCCAGGATCTTTAGAAGTCGTCTCTATGAGATACTAACCATATCCCCATTTTCCACCTACAGTGTGCAACTGTGTACATGGCGTGTGCAACAGCGGACTCAATGGCGATGGGACCTGTGAGTGCCACTCAGCATACAAGGGCCCCAGGTGTGACAAGCGTAAGTAACTGCAAGTTTCCTCACTGAGGAGGTACAGGGGAACACATTTCCCATCTGCATTTGTTGCTGGCCCTCTACAGGGAGATCTATCATCAAATGTTTCATTAGAGGAAAAATAGTGGGTGGCATGGCCACAGGGACAGCATGAAGGGAGATGTGCAGAGGGAGACATTAGGGCTAGGAGGCTAACAGAGGCCGTGGCTCCAACTAAGTCACTTAGTCAAAAAGACAAAGCGAGGTCTCAATTATAAGTCCTAGAGTCAGAATATATTAACAGCCACAGGGGAAAGAAAGAGGTTCACCAAGGCTAAGTGACTCACCCAAGGTCACAGAACTAGAAACTAGAAGTGCAGTTCAAAGCATTGGAATCTTTAAACAGTAGATGATGCTGGGTCCAGTCAGGAGCTGGAAACCATGGTGTGACTTAAACAAGAGGAGCCGAATGTGACGGTGAGGAAGCCGTGGTAGAAGAACAACTGTGAAACTGCAAACGGAACTGGAGGGGTGTTGAAGCATAAGGAAGGATGTACCCAGAAGAAGGTGGCTGCCCCCCAAGGCTGGGCTCACTCCCTGTTAGAGAGGTTATGGTGGTAGCCCGCTGAGGGGTAGAAAAGCTGGCTGATGTGCTCAGGCCAGCTTTGGACCACAATCACCTGGTCGCCGAGGGATAGTACTCTGTGGGTGCACAGCTTCGGTAGACATTCGTGAGAGGCTTTGTAGCAGCAGCAGCAGATGCAGCAGACGCACCACACTGCACCCTGCATACAAGAGCATCTCCTGCCTCCTGCACTGTCCTGCCAGTGCCCGCTCCTGGAAAAACTTAAATCTCTCTGGAAATGAGAAACACCCTTTGAACGCTGCTCCCCGCCGCCCCACTCCCACGAGCATCCCTGCCTCAGTTCGGCCAGTTCCATGGGGTAAATTGAAAGCTAAGACTTTTTTAAAAAGTTGTCATAATACCTGTGACACTAGGCTCGCTCAACTTATCTGGATTTTAGTCTCCTCTAAAATAAAAAGGTTAGGCAAAGTTGGAATTTCCCCAAGCACAAATTCATTTGATTGACAGTCCCCAAGGTGCTCTGTGCGCTGTGGCAGTGGGGAATAGAAAAACCTGCCTAGAGGAGGCAGCCATGCAAACCACCAGCTCAAGCCTGGCCTCAGGAGGATGGCTTGTGCTCTCTGTAACCTCAGCCCATCCTGTCACTGCCCAGTGACTCAGGAACAGATGCCTTCTCAGTAAGACAGGGGCCCAGTCCAGAAAGCTGCCCAAGAAAGAAAACTGTCTGATTGGCGTTCAAGTGAAAAAAATATTTCTGTCAAGTCAAAAGATAAACAAAACACTGGGACAAAAAAAGTATATCTGCAATTCACATAGCAGGCACATTTTTCTTTATTTTTTTATTTTTATGTGTATGAGTGTATTGCTTGCATGTCTAAGTGCACCTGTGTTGTGCAATACCCATGGAGGTCAGAAGAGGGCATCAGATTCCCCTGGACCTGGAGTTACAGATGGTTTTTGGCCACCATGTGAGTGCTGGAAATCAAACCCGGGTCCTCTGCAAGAGCAGCCAATGCTCTTAACTGCTGAGCCGTCTCTCCAGCTCAGCAGATACATTTTTATACTAATATAAAATCTATGGCCAAATTTTTTAAATAGACCTAGGGACAATTAATACTTAGAATAAGAAATGGAAAACAGCAATAAACATAGGGACGAGAAATCTAAACATAATTGCACAAATACACATGACCCCATAAAGAAAGGTGGAAGTCCTACAAGTTGTTCTGGTTTGGTTTTGATTTCTTGCCCATTATGTTTCCCAGTTTGCAGATAAGTGATAGTATACAGGCAACAGAGGAATGACGGTGAAAGTAGATTCCTCTAATCTGCAGAGGAATTCCAGGATGCTGCTATGGCCCTGGTTCTAGGACTTTACCCAGAAAGAAGAACTGTTACCCATGAGAGGGTAACAACACATGGACAGAAAAATTCATTGTTTTTGTAATTTAAAAAAAATCAAGCTGGAAATAACTAAAATGTTGAAGGTGACCGAATAAATTTTAGTACATCCTATACTAGTCGGGTTAATGCCAGATGCTATAAAAAATAAACACAAAAATCCAATGGCTTAACACTGTGGCCCTCAAACCATCTACCAGGTACCACACATAAGTCACAGGTTAATTTTGGATATTTTAAGCTGCTGGGAGAAACACAGTGGTGCCTCTGTCCAATGCCATAGGACCTGGTAGCTTGAAAGGTTGATAATATCATATTAGGTCATACTACATTTCTTTCTGTGAAATCATATCTTGGCCCAGCTTATTTTCAGTAATGGCTGTGATAAAAAGAAAGTGCCAGGGCTGGGGATATGGCTCAGCAGATAAGAACACTTGCTGCAGAAGCATGAAGACCTGAGTTCAAATCCCTAGAACCAGGTTCAGCTTGTACACCTATAGCTCCAGCACTGAAGTGGGGTGAAGATAGGAGGATTGGTGGGCTTTTGTGACTTCCAGCCTAGCTCCAGGTTCAGTGAGAGAACCTGTATCAAAGGGATAAGGCAAAGAATGATAGAGCAGGACACTCGACATCATCCTCTGGCCTTTGCATGTGCGCTCGTGAGTACACGCATTCCCTCCACACACTTATGTATACTACACACACACACACACACACACACACACACACATAAAGCAAGGGTCATATAAAAATTAGTGAGATGAGAATGAAGATGTCAGTCAAATTTGATCCCAAATTTGATAATTTGAGAAGTTATATAAGGGCTCCAGCAGCTTCATGTGACTCATTTGCAAATAAATGTGATCATTTAAGAATGAAATAGAAATATTTTTATTTCTATTAGGCATGTTTTTCCAAATGCCTACTCAGGAAATACATAGTCCCTGAATTCTTTGCTCTAAATTTAATAAGTGGCCCTGCAGGGAAAATCTCTGGGAGTGAGGATATCATGGAATCTTATTGGGACATTAAAGGCACTGTGACCTGAGACATTTGGGTTCCTATGGCTTGACACAGCAGAGATGAAGATCTCACTCACACAACTGCCATGTGGGTGTCCCCAACCAGTGCCAGCTTCCCACCTTGTGGTGATCAGGGACCCTGACTTTCCACCATGTAGTTCTGCTGTTCTCTAGCTCCTCCATGTGCTCTGCTTCCAGCCTTGGAAAGGGAGGAAAAAAGACCAGAGAAGCATCTGTTCATTAAAATTCAGAAAAAGGGCTGGAGACACAGCTCGGGACACAAACTCAAGTTACTGACTCACAAGCATAATGACTTAAATTCAATCCCCAGAACCCACATAAAAATGCAGGTATCTTGAAATATGGTTAACAATCCCAGCACTAGAGACCTGGAGACAGAAGTACCCTGCCATGAGCTGTCAGCCTCCAGGTCAATGAGACACTTGTCTCAAAGGATGTGGATGGCATTTCTGGGGAGACAACTGAGGTTGTCTTCTAGCTTCCACATGCATATGCACACATGCACACACATACACACACACACACACACAAATGGAATGGAATAGAATAGAATAGAATAGAATAGAATAGAATAGAATAGAATAGAATAGAATAAACTAGAATAGAATAGAATAAATATAATAGACAAGTGTAGTGGCACATGCCTTTAATTCCAGTACTCAGTAAGCAAAGGCAGGCAGCTCTCTGTAAGTTTAAGGCCAGCAGCCTGGTCTACATAGATAGTTACAGGCCAGCCAAAGCTACATAATGAGACTCTGTCTCAGTGAATAAATAGACAAAATTTTTGTCTTTTTGAGACAGGGTCTCCCTGTAGCCCCAGCTGTCCTGGAACTCACTATGTAGACCAGGCTGGCCTCGAACCCACAAAGATAGATAATTTTTTAAAAACAGAAAAATGCCTAAAACTTCCTGCTTGCTTTTCCATTCCTGTGAACTCATTACAAGACCCTACCTGGTCACAAAGGAAGCCAGAAAATGTCATCCCAGAAAGGCAGTCATTCCTTGGACACTTCCCTTTATGGGATGAGTAGGAGGGTATTTGTTCTCTATGAGGTTTTGACTCCACTGGCTACTCTTGGGAGACAATTGTCCCTGGGTCTCACAGTCATGCATGTCTTAAGGGCAACATACTGATTATTCTTTGTTCCAGATTGTCTTTAAGGCTATCAGTATCTTTTTTTAATATTTTTTTATTTTATGTGTATGCATGTACTGACTGCATGTAAGTAAGTGCACCCGTGTCATGCAATGCCCACGTAGGACAGAAGAGGCTGTCAGATTCCCTGGACCTGGAGTTACAGACAGTTGTTAGCTGCCATGTGGGTGCTGGGATTTGAACCCATGTCTTCTACAAGAACAACCAGTGTTCTTAACCGTTGAGCCATCTCTCCAGCCCCAGCTATCCATATCTTAAAGAGCCTTAACAGATACAGTCTCTCTCTCAGGAACAAACAGCAGGCATTCTCACTGCACATGCTGGTTTTGGGTTTTGCTTTTTTGGTTTTTTTCCCCTCTCAGTTCAGTAATAACAGGGATCGAGTCTATGATTATTGTCCCTGTGCCAGGTAGCAAGATGGGAAGGCTTATTAGCAGAGGGAGCTATAGGGACAGTGGGGAGGAAGGGGTTTTCTTTTTTGTTTCTGATTTGGCTTATTCACCAAGATCCTGAACCACACAGCATCTCCAGTGCCAGGCTCTGGAAAGAGTTCCTCTGGCATTTGGTCACTGAACATCACACAGGGCTTGACTGAGTAGTGGTGGAAGAGCTAGGAGCCCCAACATGGCCTTATCCATGGCCCCATGCATGCTAAGGACTGCAGAGCTGACCATCTGCTGGATTCGTCACCTTCACCGCACCCAGCTGGCCTAGAACTGCCCAAACCACACACAGAAGTTCACCACTCTTCTTAGAGAGTGGCTTTTTAGCCCCTGGCTATAGTACCACCCAGTGCCTAGCAGGTTCCTGAACGACCTAGTGAGTTCTGAGGCTTCACACCTCCAGATCAATAACCTTCCCTGGTGCCTAAGAAGACAGATTTGCAGCAAGTGTTATGATCAGGGAACTTCAAACAGCTCCTCCTCCATACAGTGACCAAGTTCATGCCCTTTTCCAGTAGCATCAGAATCTTAGCTACAGAGGAAGAGAGGCTCCCCCTTGGGTACTTACCTTTGCTTGAAGAGACTAATTCTTTTACTGTATCTGCCGGTCCTTTGTTCTTCAGAATTATTTTTTAACTCTTACTAGTTAAATTTCCATGAATCCAATTCTCTACTTGTACTATGTTATATTAAAACTTCTCCTGATCAAATAGTTATATGTCTAAACCACAAATAATACATGACCCAGTACTAAAAATAAATAAATAAATAAATATAAATGTAAACAATTAAAATTTTAAAAATGTTAGAACCTCAGAACCTCTCCTGTACCAAGCCCAGAGCATGTTCAGATATTAATCTGGCCCTCTATGAATGGCCCTTCAGGAACTGGGCTTGAAAGAGCTAGCATCAAAAATGCTTCCTTTGGGGCTGAAAAGATGGCTCAGCAGTTAAGGGCACTGGCTGCTCTTTCAGAAAACCCAGGATCGATTCCCAACACCCACATGGTGACTAGCAACCATCCATAACTCTAGTTTCATAAGAATACAACCTCTTCTTCTGACCTCTGTGAGCACTGCATGACACAGGTACACTTACATACATGCAGGCAATATACTCATACACATAAAAGTAATAAATAAGCCAGGCGTTGTGGTGCACATCTGTAGTCCCAGCACTCAGGAGGCAGAGGCAGGCGGATCTCTATGAGTTCAAAGCCAGCCTGGACTACATAGTGAGTTCCAGGCCAGCTGGAGATGTAGGGAGACCCTGTCTCAAAACAACCAATAAAAAAAAGTAACAACATATTTTTAAATGCTTCCTCTAGCTACTGCTTTGAATGTGAAGAATGGCCCATCTTTCATCTCTGACCCAGGTGTCTCATACTACCCAAAACATCCATGGCACTGTGTCAGCCCAGCTTGATAGATCTGCAGGTTGATTAATATGTTAGACTCCTCATAGTTCATGACAGCCATCTAGGTTACACCTGCTTTAGAGATTATAGCTGATCTCTAACAATTTCCATTATATGTTATTAAACTAAAAATCGGGTTTCTAATTATTTTAATGGGATTCCATTTTTAAAGGAAAAATATCATACAGCCAGACATGTTGGTATATGCATATAGTTCCAATACTCAGGAAGCTGGAACAGAAGTATCATGAATTCAAGGACAGCCTGGGTAACATAGTGAGTTCTAGGCCAACCTAGGATGCATACTAACACCCTATCTCTAAAGAAATTATGTAAGTTTATAAATAAATGTATTATGTTGGCAGTTGATATTGGTTACATCAGAAGTGGGTTTGGAAAGCAAATTAAAACACAATTAGTAGCCAGGCATGGTGGCACAGACCTGCAATCACAGTACTCAGGAGGCTAAGGATGAATGATTAGGAGTTCAAGGCCAGTCTTGGCTACATAGCAAATCTGAAGCCAGCCTGAGCTACAAAAGATCCCATCTCAAAAAACAAAGCAAAACAAAACAATCACAATTAGTTTTTACTTTATGTATCCTGTGTGCTTAAAGTTATTGCAATAAGCCTTATTAGTTTTTAGTAAAAGCATGTTCACAACTGGTCTTCTACTAACAAGAACACTTCAATAATCTTCCTGTGCAGCTGTTCCTGAGTGTGCAGCCTTGCTCTGTCCAGAAAATTCCAGATGTTCACCTTCTGGCGAAGATGAAACCAAACTCGAATGCAAGTGCCTTCCCAATTATGAAGGTGATGGTCCAAACTGCAAACGTGAGTAGGATCCCAACCTGCCTGTTATTCACTGAGGTGTTTAACAGGAGAGTCAACTCAACAACCATGCTATCAAGAAGATGACCATTTCCATTTCTATATATCTGGGTGAAAAATATAAAGAGCTCCAGGCAAAAGATTTATTGTGCAATAGTCTCGGGTGCATGGCAGGTTCTCTGTCTGTGATAAAGCATGTGTGGAGATTATGACAGTGCAGTATTGGAAATTACAGTTTCTGATGGTAATATGAGAATCTGTATGGTAGAGAGGGGTGGTCAGATGGGATGGGAAGAAATGTTTCCTTCTAAAAACTGTGAGATTGCCTTTGTGTCTTTGATGCACTCTGGCCCATAATTCCCTTGCAACTCAGTTCTCCTCCATCTCTGAGCATGCTAATGACCTCTCATTGTCTCCTCTCTCAAGCCATCAACCCATGCTTACAGAACATCTGCCACCCTCAAGCTCATTGCTCGTACCTGGGACCAAACCGGCACAGTTGTACATGTCAAGAAGGCTACCATGGGGATGGGCAAGTGTGCTTGCCACTAGACCCCTGTCAATCTAACTTTGGAAACTGCCCTACAAAGTCTACAGTGTGCAAATACGACGGGCCTGGGCAGGTGAGCTAAGGATGCGTGGAACTGATGTATCCAGAAGTAGGAAAAGAACCTCAGGTGATCTGGTGCCATGGTCCCTGTGTGTCTTCTGGGTCTTTCCATCCTTTCTTCCTGTGCTCAGCATGGACATCCTCTCCAGACAATCTTCAGTGTGCTCAGGGCTGGGTCACAGGGTTTCCACACCCCATCCACCCTTCAAACTCACACTTTTCCAGCTCCCAGTCAAAACTTAACTGTCCTGTATTCTCTCCTAACCCAGTCTTGCATGGTAATTGAAAAAATATGGACGGAATTCAAAATTAGATGACTTTGATCAGAAGTACACGCTTAAACAAAATATTTGTCAAATTTCCAGACATAGAAATCATGTTTGAATATCTTCCCTGTTGGAAAACTCATATCCCTTGTTTGTAAAGTTTACAACTTTACTTCAGTCCTGCTTTGAGTTGGCTTTTATGGAAGAATAAAAATACAAGTTAAAGAAAAATAGCAACTGATGTGACCAACTGTGATCTAATTCAGTTTTCTCTCTCTACCTCCTGAAGTCTCACTGCGAGTGTAAAGAACATTACCACAGTTTTGTACCTGGAGTCGGGTGCAGTATGACTGACATCTGTAAGTCAAATAACCCATGCCATAAGAATGCAAACTGCACCACCATCGCACCAGGCCAAACCCAGTAAGTCTTCTTGGTCTCACCACACCTTTTCTAAATGGCAGAAGTGTGAATCAGTCAATGTCATAAGTTATTTGAAGGGGCAGAAGCATGTCTCAATCAGTCCTGTACCAATCCCATGCAAGAGCGGTGGTAGCAGTAAGGAGATAGTAAGTACTCCGTAAATCTGTTTAATCAATTGATCAGTCAATGGTTATTTCCTTCGTAATGACTATGAGAGCATTCTACATGATATTTGAAGTTGACCTGACCTGATATTTGAGGTTGAATTGATCAAGAAAATGGCTGGGAAAAAAACAAATTTTTCCCAGGAAAAATTGCCTGGGAAAAACAAAACGGCTGTTGGGATTGCAGGAGTTTGACCTCTAATGTACATGGCTGTTTCTTCATTTCTGGGATGTTGCTTAGGGAAAGTGAAAAGGCATGGCAGGTATCCTGAACTCCAGGTTTCATAAGAGGGTTTTTTTAATATTTATTTATTATTTTTATCTTATGTGTATATGTGTATTGCCTGTATGTAGGTAAGTGTACCCGTGTCATGCAATGCCCACGGAAGACAGAAGAGGCTGTCAGATCCCCTGGAACTGGAGTTATGGACAGTTGTTAGCTGCTGTGTGGGTTCTGGGATTCGAACCTGGGTCTTCTGCAAGAACGACCAGTGTTCTTAACCTCTGAGCCATCTCTCCAGCCCCTCATAAGAGGTTTTGAAAAGAGAAAATCTAAAAGTGAAAATGAGATATCAGAATAATGTAAGCCTCATCACAAATCTTCTTACCTTCCCCCTCCCCAAGAAAATAAACAAATTGACTATCTTCACTGAAAAGAGGCCAAGATAAAAAGTCTGGTTAGATGAGAATGATAAATTTTGAAGCCAAGCAATTTATATTTTATCTAGATTAAAGGCCTTGTTTAATTTATGTCTTGTCAATGTGCTGCATTAGCCATAGAGGCCACTCAGTCAACAAAATGAGCTCAAATGTGTGCTCTACCACTTACCACTGGAGTGACTTTGGACAAGTCTAAACTCTAAACCACAATTCCCTCACCTGACAAGTGATCAAATGACCAACTATACTTCCCCATGAAGAGCTGGCTTTCTTTAACTCCATGCTCCATCTTGATTATACTATAAGAAACAAATACCACCGTGTCTGTGATGGCTCTTCCTCACCATTTTACTTATCAAGAGAGAGAGAAAGTAGGAGGCAACAGAAGAGAACAGAGCATCTCTCCTACATAATTCATCTTAGCTGAGAAGAAGACAGGCCAGACGGAGCAGGCAGATTGAAAACAAGATGGCTTACATTCCAACCTCACGAAAGCACAGTAAACAAAGGTGAATTTAGACTTTTGGAACATTAGTGACATTGATGATATTTGATGTTTATGTAACACTAATAAGGTTCTGGAGGCTGAGAGTCTGAAACCAACACAGCCAGGTCTTTCTTGTTTGCTACATTCTCACATAGAGGAAAAAGGGGGGCTAAAGAGTACTCTGGGGCTCTTTAACCCCATTTGTGATGCTCCACGTTCATGGCCTAATCATGTCCCCATTTTCTAATACCACCACATTGGGGATCAGGAGTTCCACATGCAGATTTAAGGAAGGGCACAGCCCATCAGTCCCATGCACCCCTCTTCACCATGATGCTCTCAACTGTGTACCTCCTGCCTGTTCTTCCTTCTACTTAGCACATTCTCTACCAAGTCAGACACACACACAGATCCTTTGATCCTCAGCTAGCATGATGCCCTCCTCCGGAATACCTTCCCTGTTCTTCACTCGGCCACCCCTCCTGGACTCCCTGAAATGCTGCCATCCTAGCATTTATGGACCCGAACTCTACAGTGTGAAGGAGCTCCAGCACTGCCACTAGAATGACATACATTCTACCCTCGAATGTACATACATAGAAGCCTCTTTGTACCTATTTCCTCACTTAAAATGGGACTAATAACAAAACCCACCTTAGATAGTGGTTGTATTTAATTAGATACTACAGTGAGGCTCTGAGAATAATACCTAGCCTAGGAGTTATCAGTAAATATTACATCAGTAAATATTACCATTACTAATTTCAATGTCCTTGGTTGGGGGTGGTGGTCATGTCCTATTCATCACTGTTGTGACTGTCCTTGATTAAAACAATGGAATAAGTGAGAGTCTGAAGTAACACATAAGTCCAGGAAGGAATAAAATAAAGTAATGAAGAAATGAAGGAAACAATTAATCAAAGACTCTTGGAACACTATCTATACTAACTCAATCTTACCCAGCATCCAGTGGGCAATAATTCTAACTCATAACATAAAATGAAAATGGCTTACAGGTATTTTTAAAGCCCTAAGAGAATAGAAGATATTTATATTCAATTTTTTAGAAACCTAGTGACCAAAGAGGCTAGGTTGTGAATCTGCCACAGCCAAACTAAGGATTTTCAAGTCAGAAAACGGTCTCATAAATTCTTGGACTTTGGACTGAGATTTAAAGTAAAAATTATGAATATTTATGTCTCATACATTCCTCAACACTGAGGCCATTTAAACAGGGTTCTCACTTTATGTGAAACAGACCACTGGCCTCATAGCAACATCAGGACCTTTTAGAGAGAAACATCCCTAGGGATTGGCAAGAGTTACACATCTTGTTGCTCACAGTTGTCTTCACATGAAACTTGTGTGGTTTGTAGCAAGATTAATTTTCCATAATGAGGACTATATCTCTTCACAGAATCACAATCACCTCCTCCCACTCCAAGTTAAATCAGTATAGCATGATACATAAAGATCATCTTTAAGTCAGGAATTGTTGAGTGTTTTTAATTGATGGTTTCATGGTTAGATCTACTTTAATAACACCTTATAATAAAGTTTCCCAGACTCAACACCCAGACATTTTTGGCAGCCCAATTCTTTTACCCTTACCCTGTGGGTTGTTTAGAAGCATTCCTGCCCTTTGCTGACAAGATTCCAAGAATCTCCCATTCCATTTGTGACCAGCACAAATGTTTCTAGATGTGCCAAGTGGCCCTTGGAAAGCAAAACTACACCTGGTTGAGAGCCAGTCCTTTATTTAAATAACTGGATAACTGAATGTTTATTATTTATTTAAATAACTGAATAACTGAATATTTATAAACCCTGAAGAGTCAGTCAACAAACTCCCAAACATTTTTCCAGCTGAAAAACTCATATATAACCTCCTAGAATCAGCTCAAATGATAGATAGATAGATAGATGATAGATAGATAGATAGATAGATAGATAGATAGATAGATAGATAGATAGAATTTCTCCTAGAATTTCCCCTTGTTTATCTAAGCAGAATTGGTCACTTCCCTCCAGCATCCTGTTCAGTCTTCATGACACTTCCTCTGGAACTTAAGTTACCTGTTGGAGAACTTCTCTACTCTCTATCAGCACCTTGGTGTGGCATTACTGTTGTTGCTAGAGTCGCCATCTCAAGCATCATGGTTACCCTTATCATTGTCATCATCATCTGCCAAGTATTGGGCTTGTCATGTATCTGTCTCTCTGTTTTGTATTTCATTATCCCCTCCATCAAGAACTATAAGGATATGACTAGACCCATTCTATAAATGAGAAACCAAGACTCATGAAGGGCGAGTGGCTTTATTACATTGCTGTCATTGTTTGTTTTCATGCATGTTTTATTCACTGTGTGAGAATATTTTTAGGACAAAGTGTCTTTTATCTTCAGCCCTCTCACTTACCAAGGATCCTAGAATAAGTCAGTACTTAGTAATTAATCAGTCCTAGGCTCTGTCTTGGGTTCTGTGACAAAATAAGGAACAAGGTAAGACCCATCTTCCCAGGAGGTTTCCCATCTTGCAGAGGGTATGATGTCTCGAGAGGGAATTCTAGTGGGAATGATTGTGGTGGAGATACCAAAGAGATAGTGTGCAGCCAGCTGGAGACTCAGGAGGTCAGATAAGGTCCCTGAGAGCTATCAGGTAAAGGGGTTGAATACTGCTGGTAGGGCAAACAGCCTGAGAAAATTTAGAAAGGCCTTTAAAAAGAAAACACTAGGGGCTGGAGAGATGGCTCAGTGGTTAAGACCACTGACTGCTCTTGCAGAGGACCCAGGTTCGATTCCCAGCACCCACATGGTGGCTACGAACCATCCTTAACTCCAGTTCCAGGGGAATCCTCTTCTGATTTCTGCGGCAATGCACGATACAGGTGCACTCACATACATGCAGGCAATATGCACATATACATAAAATAAAAATAATAAATAAAGTATAAAAAAAGAAAACACTAGCCTGCTGTGGTGTTGTATACCTGTAATCCCAGCACTTGGGAAACTGGGGCGAAATATTGAGTTTGAGACCAGCCTAGAGTACATAACAAGTTCCAGGCCAGTCTGGAATACATAGTGAGATCCTATCAGTAGATGGATGATAGATAGGTAGATAGATGATAGATAGGTAGATGATAGATAGATAGATAGATAGATAGATAGATGATAGATAGATAGGTAGATAGATGATTGATAGATAGATAGATAGATAGATAGATAGATAGATAGATAGATAGATAGATAGGCAAGTAGGCTAGAATGATGGCTCAGCAGTTGAGAACACTGGCTACTCTTACAGAGAAACCAGATTTGATTCCTAGCACCCACATGGCTGCTAACATCTGTCCATAACTCCAGTTTCAGGGGGATCTGATGCCTTCTTCTGACCTCCACAGGCATTGCATGATATGGGATCACTTACTTACATGCAGGCAATATACTCATACACATAAAATAAAATAATAAAATAGTATATATGTACATATATATGTACATCAGTTTGGTACTGCTGGTGTTTGTGGTAGGCAGTAGGTACCCACTTCTTGAATGTTGCCCTATAAGTGAGGAAGTTTGGAGGATTTGGACCATGCAGGTAACAGGCTTCTCTTTGGGGGAAATCACTCAGAGGATGTATAAAGGGTTGATTGGAGAAGAGAACATGAAATACAGAAAGACAGTTAAAAGACCACTGCAGGCAAAGGGAAACAGGGCTCTGAGAGGTTTGTTCTACAAAGCTGTTGGAAATAGATCTGTTTTCCAAGAGACCATATTTAGAAGCAAATTTTATTCTCGAGTTATTCTCGGGGATACAGTCCTAGGTGTGAGTCACCACCTCTGCAGATCAGGGTTGTGCCCCTCTCTGGAAAGTTCTTCTCCTGCCTCATGTTTGGTTCCTGGCTCATCTCCAGGATCCTAATCAATGTCACCTTCCTACACTAGCTGCCAACTCCTCTCCTAGAGAACAGCCAGTGCTTCCTATTTCACAGAGCAGAGTGCTAAATTTTTAGGGATTTCGCAGACTTGTTGACATCATGTTAGTAGTTTGAAATTGGCCAATGTACAATGAGAAACCATTGAACTTGCCAAGTACTGTCAATCAAGGTTTCCTTCCTCACACACATTCTCTTGAGAACTGGTTATTAGATGCTTACCAGCATGCCACTGTTGGCACATCTTCAACTTTCTCTCTTATGAGACTAAACTATTGTGTTGTAATTCTAAGGCGTCCCTGGCTTATGTATTAATTGTTATTGTATATGGCTGATCTCCTTGTTTTTCTTATCTACTTCATTCGATTCCTACTTATTGTATGACTATTGATTAAGTACCTCCTAGGGACCTGGCCCTGTGCTATATCCTGGGGTGACCACAGTGAACAGAGACACTCAAAGCCTTTGCCCTCAGCAGAGAGGGAAGCAGATATTTATCACATAACCAGACAGATCAGAATAAATTACAGCTGAAACTGCTGTTACAGAGAGGGCTACATAGCACCATGAGAGTGTGTGTAAGGGGAGCAGACCCAAAGCAAGAAGGGACACTGGAGTAGGCCTCCCTGAGGGAGGAGAAGGGTAAGGGAACTTTGTCTAGGAAGGGAGAGAGTACGGGTGCATATTCTATGCAGATGATTGGTTCTAAGTCTTTACTGCCCTGAAAGCTGCTCTTGGTAGTAGATTACCTACTTTTCCTGTTGCTGTGATCAAATATCTTGACAAAGGCAACTTAACAGGAGTTTGAGGGACACAGTCCATTATGGCGGGACATCATGGTAGGAGGAGCTTGAGGCAGCTGTTCACATGCATCCAGGTCAGGAGGTAGAGAGTGATGAGTGCTCCTGCTCAGCTCCCTTTTTCCCTTTTATTTAGTCTAGGATCCCAGTCCATGGAATGGTGCCTCTACAATTAAGGTGGATCTTCGCACCTTAGTTAACCTAATCTAGATACTGTCTTGCAGGCTTGTTCACAGGCTTGTCTCTGAGGTCATTCTAGATCCTAATAAGTTCAATCAACCATCACAATATTAACTATCATAAGTAGCTTATTCCAGTTCAGGAGTTCTGTCTTATGCGCCCTAAATCTACATTTGTAGCAAATATTCCAAGTGATTCTTATGTGGATGGTATCTAGAGTACACTTTGAAAATAACCACTCCAAAGAGCATACAAAGATATCTTCTGTTTATAGATGCACATACTATATTATCCACCTGATTCTGGAATGGCAACTCTAAGCCGTGATCTGCACTTGTCTGCTCACTGGGTTTGTGCCTCTTCTGACCTTGTCCACTACTGCTTGCCATATTGTTTTCCTCATCTGTGAAGACCCTGAGAATGTGGTTTCACCCTCTCTACAGATGCACCTGTCAGAAAGGTTATGTGGGCGATGGCCTGACCTGTTATGGAAACATCATGGAGCGACTCAGAGAATTAAATACTGAACACAGAGGAAAGTGGCAAGGAGAGCTGACCCCTTTCATCTCACTCCTCGGTATGCAGCTGTGAGATACACGTTTCCTCCTCAAGGGCAGCCACCTTTTGAGCCAGGGCATCTGCAAGACAAAAGATTGCAGAAAGGACAGGCAAGGCTGGTGCACTGGGACCAGCCCTTGTAGGGATGGGTCATACGGGTGATGGAGAGATGCAGACAGCTGTTTCCAAGGAGACATTTGTTTTCTAGAAAGCCTAACAATGCAAAGATTAGTAAGCAGAGAGCTTGGGTTACAGTCCTAGGGTTCCCATAGATTAATAGATTTAGAATAACAGCAAAAGGGATAGCAACTGATGTCAAATATCATCCCCATGCCTTTGACTTCATGTATTTTTAGAGATGAACAAATGTTGTAGTGCTGGGAATAGAGTCACTAAGGCCCCATGGCAGTATCCATGTTCAACAGTGAAGGTGTCACTTGAATTTTAGAACAATATTGGTTGTATGCACCTTAGCCAGAAGCTACTGGTCAACCTCTACTAGTAAAAAAAAAAATCCTCCCCCAAGCTCTAGGCAGGGCGATAGTAGAAAAGACCCTCAGCATCTACAATTATTGCCCCACCACCCCTGGAGAATGAAATATTATAGCTGTTCATAACATTGGACAAGACTTCAACCAAGCATGAATTTGGCCAGTCTGACAACAAAAAATAAAACATAAACTCGACCAGCAAATAGGAACCTTAAAATATCAGCATTTATGCTAGAATTTTCCAAGTTAACAAAAATGATTTCCCGGAAAAGACAGGAGTAGAGAAGTCAGCATCTTTGCAGACCAATGCTATGTTCTCTGCACAAATCTGACTGTACCGCCTACATGGTCTGCTCTTTGCAAGACCTCAGAGGGGAGGTCAAGTGTTACCAACAGGACTTGAGCTTGGGAACAATCTTCCAGCAACTACAATCTTCTGCTAATAACTCGGGACATGAGATGAGAGTGGAAGGGGATGCAGAGTGTCTCTTGCACAATCACCCCCACCAACATTTCCTGAGACAGAGTCCTGTTGACCTTTCACCTTCCCCCATTGCAGCTTACTCCTGGGTGAGAACACAGAGCCTGTTCTGATGTCCCAGCTTCCCCAAGGTGATGGAAACAGGCTGGCTACTTAACATTCAGGGCCCAGGGCAGAATGCAAATGTGAGATCTTCAGTTTGACTATTCTACTTTTCAAGAGGGCACCAACTGAGCACTAAGTCTAGTTTGGGCTCTCCCAAACTGGTCTTGGGTGAAACCAAGGACTGAATCCTTACACAGGTAGATGACAGCTCAGAAAATCAGGTACAGGGTCAAGAACTGAAGGACTGTCAAAAGATATTATCATACTCTTTTCCCTCTTCCCAGAGTATCTATAAAGTCACAGCTGAGTCTGCGGGACACTCTGAGAGTGTTCTGAGAACATATCAGGCTAGCATTTCACAGTAATACGTACTCTTAGAGTTACCAAGGGCTCCAACACAGCAATGAGAGCAGAGAAGGGCATAGAGGAACTGGTCATGACATGACCCACTGGGCAACTTCACTCCCCATATGTCTCTGACCTACGAGGCATTTTCTTTCTTTGTGTATTTGAACTCCTAAGACAAAGCTTATGCCTGGCCACTGAGCAACTTGGGACCGTTCACCGTGCTACTGCCCCCAGACAAGGGACTGAAAGGAGTCAATGTGAGTATTTAAAATAACCCCGCAGCGAGGGGGGATGGTGTAAAAATGCCTTAATAAATAGTATCTTATTTAAAGTGAAAAACCTCTATTACAATTAAGCCTATTGGTGATAAGCATGGTGGGACTTTTTTGATAAACATATGTTTTAAATTAACACAGAAGCATTGTAAACTGTGGTAGAACTCTTGAGTGTATTCATCTTGTCTAACTAAAGTGTGGTACCCATTATCTAATCGAACTGTCCTCTGTCTCCAACTCCCTTTTACCCCTTTCTGACTCTAATGACTTCTATTGTATGCTTTCCTTCTAAGAAATCAATTCTTTTAGCATCCACACATGAACAAGAATGTGCACTATTTGATAAACTTCTCTCAGAGAAATATTCTTACAGAAGTACACAGATCATCAACACACAACTCAATTTATTTGTCCAAAATGAAAAAGTACTTGTATATCTAGCAGCACTCTACAAGGCTGTCTTTCAATCACTGTCCATCCAAGGGTGCCCTTGAAGGTCCCTAATATACAGTCCTTGTGATAAATAAGATTTGTATAATGCAAAGCTGCTCATTTCCCGCAGGAAGAATTCAACTAATACATTAGCTGGATATTCATTTCTTTGAAGTCATCAGGAATGGTAACAGTGACAGGGGGAGCCAGAAGAAAAAGTTACTCTTCAGTGTGTGCAGCTGTTGAGATAATTCATGGAGTTGGTATGAAACCTACATCTGGTGGAGGTGTCCTATGGCAATGATATCAATGAAATAGTTCAGTTAGTTCTAACATAAACAGTGCTTACTGATTTATATAAAATTGGATTATTGTCATCCAAGACGCCTTCTGATGAGAATTTGTGCTGCCTTAAATGGAAGCCCAGTATGTTGCCACCTCCTTCATCTTGATATACCATCACCCTTCATCCATCTGAGATGAGCCTGTCCACTCTTGACCTTCAGAGATATCCTATAGTCTCTCCTGCCAAGGAGAAATGGCAGTGTTGCAAGCCTTCACACTCGGCACTTTGCAAGGGGTCTCCCCTTTAATATATAAAGTTTACACAGAGTTCATTGAAAAGCATCTGTTGATTGTTGGCTGTGTAGTAGTAACCAAAACGTCGATTTGGTCCCATAACTTTACTATTCAAAAGCATCATCAGCTCACTCTTCCTACTCCATAAAACTTAAGAAGGTTATATTCTGGTCCTTTTCTTGGACTCAAGATAGATTCCTCTGTGATGATGATCTCCTCCTGTATCCATTGCCCTGCTCTTTCCACCTTGTGAGATCCACCGCTAAGTGGCCTCTAGTGTCTAACAGTGTACTGGGCATTAGCCCTGACTCTCCAGATTCCACTCTTTTTAGAGCCTGGCCCTGAGTCTGTGCTCATCTGAAACACCATCTGTATCTGATAGAACCCTTTTGGGCGCACACTGGCTTGGGTGTCTCTGATGTTAAATAAGACACAACATGCTCATTTTTTCCAAGTATCATCCATCCGACTCTCTTTTCTTAGGTAAAGGAGCTTTTGATGGATAAGGAGACTGCTCGGTACTTTATGAAACTCCACATCATTGCTGGGCAAATGAACACAGAGCAGATGAATGACACAGACACCTTCTATACCCTGACTGGGAAGTCAGGGGAAATCTTCAACAGGGATAAGGTCAGAGTTTCTCTGCATTTCACTCTTATGGAAATAGCAGGGTAACACTGGAGGTGGGGGAGGAGGGAGTGGACTGTTACAGAAACAGGACTAGAACGTTTGATTGGATCTGGACTGAGTTAGCTGTCAAAGCAACCGTTAACTCAGCTGCCACCAGGAAGACGAAGTGCTGTGAACCCGTTTCCTGGAAGCGCTGGCTCAAAGTTGTCAACATTCATCTTGTGAAAGGAAAAGAATTGAGTGTGTTTGGTTTGAGTTGCTGGAGCTGGTCCATCTTCTACAGAGAACACCTCTATCTCTCCTAATGCCATTCATTCTGCCAGCTTTTAAGATCAAACTGTCCCCCTCCCTTCACAAATAACTCTCTTCATGGGTCTACTTAGCTGGGGGCATGTGATTAATAACAGGTGTACATGTGTGAGTTATGACCTAGGCTGTTGTAGTTTACCTAATATCGATTTCCAAGTGTTCTTTCCATGCTAAATACTGAGGTAAATATTTGTGTTATTTGTACTTGTTTTATCTGAATCCTTGTCTCCCCTATAGGACAGTAGAAAGGTCACACAGAAAATCCTGAGCTAGGATTCAAGAGTGCATCTGCCTGATACCAAGCCCACAGTCTTAACCAGTCTGCTATAGTGTATGTTTGAGGGTGGATGATAGATAGAAAGGTGGATACAGAGGACAGAGAGATGTATAAATAACAGATAGGAATATGTGTCCTCATTTCTCACAAGGGCATGCATACATTCACTTAGTCATTCATTCAAGAAATATTTATTGCCTGTAACTCTTTAATAGTCACATAAGAATTAATTTCAGAGGCTGGAGACATGGTTCAGTGGTTAAGCGCACTGACTGTTCTTGCAGAGAACCCAGGTTGAGTTCCCAGCACCCATCTGGCAGCTAACGACTATCTGTAACTCCAGTTCCAGGGAATCTGACACCCTCTTCTGACCTCCGTGGGCATTGCACAACATGGGTGCACTTACATACATGCAGGCAATACACTCATACACATAAAATAAAAATAATAAATGTTTTTAAAAAGAATTCACTTCAGTTACTCATTCAACAAATGCATTTGCTGTGCACCTTCTCTGGGCAAGGCATTAAAGCAGGTGATGCATCAGCTAAACTGTTATGTCCTTGTGGAGCTTGCAGTTTATTGGAGGAAAGCATAGAATGCCTTATCCACATTTTGCATAAGATACTCAGCAGGATCTTGTACGGGTTTAATGAAAAACATGTGAGGTAAGCCAAACAGATATGTCATCCTCCTGTAAGACTGTGTAATTTGTCCAAAGTCTCATAGCAAGTACATGGCAGGACCCGAGCACTCAAGACTTCTGACTTGTAGTCTGATGCTTACTCTTTCCAGAACACCACATTAATTTTATTTTTCTTTCTTTGGTATTTTAGGACAATCAGCTAAAGCTTAAACTTTATGGAGGCAAAAAGAAGGTGAAAATTATTCAGGGGAACATAGTTGCTTCAAATGGGCTTATACACATCCTGGACCAAGCCATGGACAAGCTAAAACCCACACTTGAGAGCAACCCCCAGGTGAGATAAGTCAGGTAAAAGTGAGGTCAACCCAAGGCCACCTTTCTCTGCTGTCTGGCGAGTCACATCCTAGAAGAAAGTGTTACCAGCACTTAGTTTGCCTTTTGCTGGGAGGGTCTGAAGAACGCACAGATTTGAAGACTGGTTAAATCAAAACAGTGGTCTAAAGTTTAGCAGTCAATTGTAAAGTCGACAGTAAAGCAGTCCTTTCATATATAGCCACACTTAAACGTAAATACTGCCATCTCTTAATGTTGAGGTTTGTAATTCCAAAACCACTTTATCAATTATTTTACTGACTTTTAAGCAAAAACCTGTCTTTTCAGCAAACCATAATGACAATGCTACAACCAAGATACAGCAAGTTCAGATCTTTGTTGGAGGTATGCACTTTCCATGAACATCTGAAAAATGGAAGTCATTGTATAATTAGCAGACATATTAACTACTTTCTGGAGAACTACTTCAAATATTAATCTGAGAAAACAGAGTCATAAAATTTAATTTCTCAAATGCAGAAAACCAATGTCGGACATGCCTTAGATGAGGATGGGGTTGGTGGACCATACACGATTTTCGTTCCAAGTAATGAAGCACTGGATAACATGAAGGATGGCACCCTTGATTACCTCCTGTCTCCAGAGGTAGAGTACCCTTCTTACTAAGGTGCATTGAGTCAGCATCACTGCCTTCCCCTGTGTCCAGACAGCTTTTTCTAAACTGGGAGAAATCAGTAGTTATACATATCACCATCTGCCTTCTCATAACCAAGGGAGACATCACTAATCAGACAACATCTGGAAACTACTCCTGGATGTGGCTGCAGCCTCCTCAACAGAGTTATGATCTGTCAATTTTCCTGAATACAGTTAAACTCTACAGCCCTGGGACTAAATTATTGGTTTGACTTGTCTAGTCTTTTCTAATGTTTCTCATCTGTTAAAAAAAAATCAGTATGCTCAAGTTTCTTCCAACTCTAAAACCACTTAAAGAATGACACCTAAAGAAGATCATCCAGGGACAGCCCAGGCTAACCCTTCAAAGAACTCTCTCTCCACAATAACCCTTTCCTATGTACCTTGCTCCTCAGTCGCTATCACAGTTCCACTTAGAAAGGAAACTGTGCCCTTTCTAACATCCAGAGCCTGCATGGGTTACAAATTCTCAGCCTATAGGAAATTCTCTCTCTACCCTCTTAATATCATTCTTTACTTTTAATAAACTTCAGTGGAGAATCTCAGTGTGAGACAAAGGCCCCATGGAAACGGGAAAACTGGTTTCCTCAGACCCATGTTTCAAATGTTAAGTCGGAGTGTGTGTTTCCTTACTGGATCCTTTTCCCTCTGAATCCCAGCTTGAATCCAGAAACCATCCCATCCCCACAGAGACAATAGCACCTGATGGCCATCCCAGGTGTAGGCTTTATCACTGAAAGAACTGAACAGAAATAAAAGCGAAGGGAGCAAGGAGGCTTGTCTTTGCAAACTCAGATTCCTTGTGAATAAAGTGAGGCAAAGGAAAAATCATTTTAAAAGTCTACAGTTAAAAAGCGCTCTATGGCACCAAAGGACTTGGATATAGTTTTCACATAAAACAGTAGGGAGGGTATTGTTTCTTTTCCTCTTGCTGTAATAAAATACTCTGACAAAAGCAACCTAAGAGAGAAAGGGTTTATTTTAGCTCATAGCTCCAGGTTATGGCTCCATCATGACAGAGAAGTCAAGGCATCAGAAGCTTGAAGCAGCTGGTCACATTATATCCACAGTCAGAAGACAGGAATGAATGTGTGCATGCTTGTGCTCAGCACTTTATTCAGTCCAGGACTCCAAACTCGGGGAAAGGTCCCATTTACATTAAGAGGGGTCTTCCCACACCAATCAAGAGGTATGCCCGGAGACCCATCTCCCAGGTGACTCTGGATTCAAGTTGACAATCAGCATTATCCATCACAGTGGAGGGAGGGAGTATCCTAAGGGAAAGAGTGAAGGACTTCTAAAGGCTCTTGGACAACAGCATATGGAAGCATGCCCTGTCAATCTGCTGGGTGGTGCTGATGACCCTAGCCAGAGAAGGTTCCAGCATACAGTGACTAGAGTGGTGCTGAGACTCCTGCGTCTCTTTCATTTTCTTTCTTATGAAATGGGTCCAACACTAATTAGATTTTAGAAGTAGATTATCCCACTGAGAAATTCTTTCCCATAGAAGCAGAGGTATGGAAGGGATTCATACTAATATCTTTATCATTCAGGGAAAACTGTAGGCGGTTCAGATATTTGCTCAAGGTCACACAGAGGCAGACTAGGATTACTATCCAGGTTTCTAAGGTCAAGCCCAGTGCTCTTCCTAGCACACCTTCCTTTTTTAATTTATGCTTGTCAAGAACCTACTGTGTGCCCCATACCATGTTATCTGGGTACAGCCTGACATTTGCATGCATGGCCCCTGTCTTCCAGGAATTGACCATCCACGTGAGACATGTCTTAGCAGTGTCCTCTTTGTCCCATCCTTCCTACCACAGAGCACCGAAGCAAGTCGCAGCACTGCTTCCTCCTGAAAGCCCAAATTTCTGGGTACCATAGAGTAAAGAGAAGCTGAGATCCAGGGGCTGACTTGCTCAAGGTTGCTTAGTAAACCCATTCAAGGGCCTCAAAAATCATCGCTTCCAGGGTCAGCTAATTGGTGTCAAGTTCAGAGTTCTTAAAGGCAGCACAGCCCTGTACATCCTAGTATTGGCTTATAGGTATGGCAGGCTGGTCATTCATCTTCCGTACCAGGACACCTTTGAGAAATAGAGCTGCCAGGACAGCACATGTAAACCCTGGTTGGGCCAAACAAACCAAGATATATGGTAACTACTTAAAGGTAGCTCCCTGACATCATGATCAAGGCCAAGTGCCACAAGGAGGCTGAATGAGGGGACCTCGGGTTTGGCAATGCTTTCATTCAGCCTGGGCCTTGAGGATGTGAGAACATGTCCCCAGAAAGGACAACTTCCTGATGGTTACCAGGATCTTGACCTATGATCCTTCGTCTATTCAAGCTGTGCCAAATATCTAGCAGAACTCGAGAGCTGAGAAGCTTGTCCACCCAGCTGTGTCAGGTATAGACGTGCTGCAGGAATGCCAGAAATCATTGCTGCCTCTTCCCCGGGAATGTGGCCCTGTGCCATTCCACCCTGTAGGCGCCCTCCAAGGCACCTGTCTGTACTTTCCCCTGAGAGCCCCAGGACCTTATTTTTTTCTCCACTATCACTTCAGCTTTCTGAAGCAAGAGTAACCTGTGGAGATATCTTTGAAGGAGGACTGGCTTCCTTTGAGGGGAAAGGCAATCGGTCCCTGCAGCTAAATATTCCTTAAAAGACCAGTATGTGACTTGACAAGCAGAGGTTGACTTATGGAGCAAGAGAGACAGAATCATAAATAGCAAATGTTGTAGAAATTCCAGAATGTATCTTAAGATGTGTAGTGATGTTGTGGAGCAGAGTGGCTGAGAGTCTGCCATTCTTAGGCTCCAGTACTGAGTGAGCCGTGTGGCTGTGGGCATGGTTCTGAAGCTCGGTGTTATTACATATAAAATCTGTCAATAGTAGTCTCTACCTCGCAGGGATGCTGAGAAATGTGCTTCTTATGTTTTCAAAATAGCTACCACCAAGAGATTTGATGGATGTTAGCTATATGTGGCATGGAAATTTTCTCATCTTCAATCTCCCAATAAAGGGGTTTTGAGTCATTTTCTTTTATGATTTAGTCTCCAAAATCATTTGAAGGGCTCTCAGAAAAGGAAGAGTATGGAGTTTTCTTCGTGGACTAAAGTAATATTTTTATTCCTTTGCAGGGTTCTTGGAAACTTCTGGAACTTGTCAGATACCACATTATCCCATTTACCCAGGTTGGCCTTATTCTTCCTCCTACTTTGTCTATGCTTTCAAAATATCAGACCTTACTCTTGAATTCCAATATTTTGTTGCTAGAGAATTTGTGAGGCTTTTTCTTAGCTCTGAGCAAACCCTTCATCTGTTATGTGTTATACTGTTATCAAAGAAATCTTCAAAGCCACAAATACTCAGGGCATCAAATGTCAATGCCCCCGTTATTTAATCAACAGTTAAGGACTTTTTCCAGCAAGGGCTGTAAGAAATGGGGGTTTTGTTCATTGCTGCAAATGTTTCCATAGAGCTCTTCTCATTACAGCTGGAAGTGGCCACTCTCATTTCAACACCTCACATCCGGAGCATGGCCAATCAGGTCATCCGGTTCAACATAACCAACAATGTAAGTGAGAAGTCTATGCTGGTACCAACGCATTCATGGCTGTTCTGGTGATGCCCATTCATCAAATTATCTCACCTCTACACTGACTCACAGGCCTGAAATCTTTTCTTGTTAGGGGTGGTATATGCAAGAACATGTGTGTGCAGGTGCACATGCACATGAATGTTTGTGCATGCAGAGTCCAGAGGACCAGCTCAGTCATCATTCTTCAGGCACTGTCCACCTTTCTTTTAAGACAAGGTCTCTCACTGGCCTGAAGCTCACCGAGTAGCCTAGGCTGGATGACTAGCAACCACCAGGGATTCACCTGTCTTCACTGCCCATGTGCTGAAATTAAAAGTGTAGCTACTGAACCTGGCTTTTTAAATGTAGGTTTGGGGGATCAACTCAGGTCTTCATGCTTGTGCCAGGCAGGTACTTCACCAACTGGGCTATCTCCCCTATCTCACAGGCCTGCAATCTTTACAGTTGTCTACTCTTTGCTCAGTGCTTTCAATATCAATACCAGCAAGTATCAGCTGAGCATCTGCCTGGATGACAGCCTTCACTGCATTCTAGTGATAAAGCAGCAAAAACATCAGACAGACGTCCATCCCAGAGGAAATAGAATTTAATAATCCATTAAGTGACCAATAAATTACAGTTGCGATGAGTGCCAGTCAGAGAAGTCTGGAAAGGTATGAAGGCACACAGGCAGAGGGTCCAAGAAAGCAGCAGGTCAAGAGGACCTCGGGAGGTCCCTATGGCCATGCCTTGAAGGGGGAGTAGAAAGAACTTGGCAGAGTGAATAGAAGAGAGTGCTGGGCAGCAGGGAGAACACACGTGAAGTCCTGAGCTGGAGGGAACATGGTTTACCTAAGAAGCTCAAGGAAGCTCACTCTCTGAGATGGCCAAGTCTAAGAGCAGAGAGACATTGCCTACTGATGACAACCTCACCTTTCAGCAGACATCTACTGGGTACCACTGTGTGCCAGGCATTGTCCTAGGTCCTGAAGAACCCAAGACCAGACAGCAGTCACTGGTTACATCCAAATTTCATTCTAATAACTAGGGAACTAGGCAATAAAGAAATCGGTGTGTAAAATCTATGATAGAAAATCAGCCGAGCAGGAAATGGGACTAGGAAGTGAAATGGGACTTTTCATTCATTCATTATTGTTCATGTTGAAAATGATAGGTTTCATTATGACATTTTCATACAGGTACATCATTGTACCTTGTGAATATTTGCCCCCTATCTCGCCCTGCTAGTCCCCTTCCTCCCCACAAATATCTCTCTTCTGTTTTCATGTCTCATATATATGTATATGTATGTGTACACTTTAAATCTAGGCTCTGTATATGAGAGAAAACCTGCAACATTGTGTCTTCCTCTTTAACACCCATTACTCTCACTCATTCTCCCTTCCTCTGTCTTTAGAATTCTTCCTCCCTACTCATAGTCACCCTTCTGCCCTCATAAGACTGACATTTTAGATAAAGGTCCAACAAGTTCTCACAAAGAAGAAAACATCTGAGCTAAGACTTGAAATGGGATAATAGCAGTGTGACTCTCCAGGGACAGAAACTTCCAGAGAGAAGAAACAGCCAAGAGAAGATGCACATGGCGATGGGCAGGCTCAGCTGTTCGATGAACAACAGGACAGTGTGGCCAGACAGAGGAGGCAGAAGGGAGACGGGGTGGAAAGCAGTCAGGCATCCAGAAGATGAGAAGGTGGGGTCGGTCAGGTCCCACGTGTGCTGAGAAGTCAGGGTGAGGATGCGAGCTCTTACTCCAAGTGAGATGAGAAGAAACTGGAGGATTATGATCAGTCACACATTTTGGGGAAACATATTAAGAGATCTGATTACAATAATTCAGTCAAGAATGGTGTCAAGGACTGGGGGGATAATTCAGTTAGTAAAGTGCTTTTTGCACAAACATGAGGACCTGAGTTCCATCCTCGAACCCACATAAAAATACTCATGTGTCGTGCTTGGCATGGTGGTGTGCACCTTTAATCTTAGCCCTTGGGAGTCAGAGGCAGGTGGATCTCTGTGAGACTGAGGCCAGCCTGGCCCACACAGTGACTTCCAGATGGGCTGAGACTAGGGAGTCCCTGTCAAAACAAACAAAAAGCATTCATGTGTGCTGCGGCCCACTTGTAACCCCAGTGCTGGGGAGGCAGACTCAGGTGGATCCCTAGGGCTCACTGGCCAGTCAGCCTAGTCCACTTGGTGAGCTCCAGTGAGAAACCTGTCTCAATAAACCTGGTAAATAGTACCTGAGGAATAACACCCAAGGTTGGCCTCTGGGCTCCAGGTACCCGGTACACACACACAAAGACGAAAAAGAAAAGAATGGTGGTTGGTGTCTCTAGCCAGGTGAGCAGAGACATGGTAAGAAGTGCTTGAATCATGAATACATTCTGAAGATCGACCAAAGAAAATCATGCTATTATATTGGATGGGCGAGGCTTTTAACTTGAGCAATGAGAAGAAAGAAGTTGCCTTTGATCCATGATGGAGCGGGTGTGGCAAATTCACTCATTTCCATTCCCTCCACACACACCTAAGCAGGAACTTGTCTGTATGTTTATGGATGTGTCCTTAGTGCCTAAAACAGAGCTAATGCAAGGCCAGTGGTTGTCTTGGATGAATGGATCCCTGTTTCAGCACAGAGGTAAAAAGTGGTAGTCCTTAGGCCTCTGTTCCACCTCAGAACATGCTGGAACATTTCTGCACAGATGTCTTGCCCAGTCAGGATTTGTTTCACAGATACAATTGTTCCCTGACAGCAAATCTGTTAGCAACCTTCAGGGAGAAGTGAAGTGATGTTGGGAACTTTTAGTGATGTTGATGGCTTGATGGCTTGACCCTGCGATCAGAATGAAAGATGTCACTGCTTCCTTTCAGGGGCAGATTCTGGCAAACAATGCAGCAATGGAAGAAATCGAAGTCGCTGCCAAAAATGGCCAAATTTACACACTGACTGGAGTTCTCATTCCTCCTTCCATTGTCCCAATTCTGCCCCATCGATGTGATGAAACAAGGAGAGAGATGAAACTGGTAAGGAGTTCCTTCTTCCCCTTCACCCCCATGGTTCTTGTATAAACTTTCCTCCTCCCTTCCCAGTTGACCCCCCCCAGAGAAAAACATTAAAAAGAAATATTTAGAAAGATATATAATGAGATGAAAAATTTTTACAATAGAATTTTACAAAAGTAAAATTGACGCATTTTATGACAAGACACATTTTAAGACACCTAAATTTAAAACAATAACATAAACTTCATACTATGAAAGAACCAATTTTCTAAAGATATTAATTCACATTGATATTTATCACAATTTAATAAAAATTGTGGATTTACTATAACACTTCAAGATATTCAGTACACTGATGACAAAATTACAGATATTTTTCATGGAATTCAAAAGCTATATGAAAATGTTAAACAGAAAGAAAGAAAATAATTTTGAAGGATGAAAAACTGATAAGGAAACTTGAAAAGTTTGGCAAGTCAGGGTCCTACACTGACATTGAGAGCCGGCAGCAATCTGCCAACCCTGAGGGTGTAAATTCATGAAAAGGTGTGTGGATCTGAGGTCCTATCCCATCCACTGTAAACCGAGGTTCAAGTGGGATTTCTGCAAGAGATGCTACACAGGTGTGCAGGTGTGTTGCTGTAAGAAACTGCCACAGATGTTAATCATTTATTCCCTCACAGTTACTGACGCTAATTCTGAAATCAAGGTGCCAACAAAGCCATCCTTTCCTTAGAGGCTGTAGCCCAGGCTGGCCTCAAATTTGTGTACTCAAGAGATCCTCCCGCCTTAAACTTCTGAGTGACTGGAGCTATCTACACAGGTGTGCAGGTGTGTTGCTGTAAGAAACTGCCACAGATGTTAATCATTTATTCCCTCACAGTTACTGACGCTAATTCTGAAATCAAGGTGCCAACAAAGCCATCCTTTCCTTAGAGGCTGTAGCCCAGGCTGGCTTCAAATTTGTGTACTCAAGAGATCCTCCCGCCTTAACCTTCTGAGTGACTGGAGCTACGGTCTTGTGGTACTTCACAGGGCTAACTCCTGAGCTTCCGACAGCAACCCTGGCATTCTTCATCCCACATCTGCACACTCCCATCTCTGCCCTCCTCTCCGTGTGGCTTTCTTCACCATGTGTGTCCTTCTGTGTCCTCTCTTTTATGAGGACACCAGTCATTGGATTTAGGAATGCCCTAACTATATCTGTAGACTATTTCTAAACAAAATCACACTCTGAGGTTTCAGGAGATGCGTTTTGGGAGAGTTGCTATTCAGCCTATTCCATCACAGTTTTGGGATCCAATCAGGGTGTTTTCCCTGGGATTTAGGATCAGTATCCTACTTTATGCTTCCCCTGCCTCTGTCACCTGGAGCCTTCTACGCCAAGCTCATTGTTTTACTCTCTCTAAGAGAGACTTGAGATAAAAATTCATTTGCAGGTGGATACTCTAACCTAGTGATACATTCCTCTTTCAAATACTAGACTTTCTGTTTCTCCATGAACTCCTGTGTCCTCTAATGATCTTTCCTATTTCCATATCAACTTTCTAAGCACCCTTACTTCCAATAATGTTCCACAAGGAATCTTTAACTTTCTATGGAACTATAACCCCAAATTGTAGCAATAACAGCAATGTATATTTCTTTGTAGGATATCTCATTAATACATCAGTATCACAATATATTTGAAAATGAACATTGAACAAATAAAAAGCACATAGTTTTACTTTTTATCTTCCTCCTTCTCCTCCTCCTCCTTCCCCTCCTCTTTTATGGGACAGGATCTCAATATGTAGCCCACTCTAGTGTCAAACCTATAATCTTCCTGTGTCAGCCTCCAAATTCTGGGATTACAGACCAGCATACCCACCTTTTAATCCTCTCCTTGATGAAGGTTAACATTAGCTAGGTAAGCACCTGCGTAAGATGATGACTTTTGGTCCCACAGTTCTTAACTGATACAATAACTGGTTTGT